AAGCAATTTATATATTCAATGCAATACCAATCAAAATACCAAAGACATTCTTCTGAGATCTGGAAAAAATGATATTGATATTCACATGGAGGCACAGGAGACCTCAGACATAGCGATACTGTACACAAAAACAAAGCCAGAGGCATCACAATACCAGATTTCAAGACTCGCTACAGGGCAGTTATAATCAAAACAGTATAGTACTGTTACAGAAACAGATGGATAGACCAATGGAACAGAATAGAAGCACCAGAAATCAACCCAAACATCTACAGCCAACTTATATTTGATCAAGGATCTAAAACCATTTCTAAAGCAAGGACAGTCTCTTCAACAAATGGTGCTGGGAAAACTGGATTTCCACATGCAAAAGCATAAAGCAAGACCCCTACCTTACACTTTTTACACAAAAATCCACTCAACATGGAATAAAGATCTAAACCTATGACCCAACATTATCAAATTATTAGAGAACATTGGAGAAACCCTTCAAGATATTGGCACAGGCAAAGATTTCTTGGAAAAGACCCCAGAGGCACAGGCAGTCAAAGCCAGAATTAACAATTGGGATTACATCAAATTGAGAAGTTTCTGTACTGCAAAAGAAACAGTAAAGTGAGTAGGAAACTGACAGAATGGGAAAAAATTTTTCAAATTATGCAACCAATAAAGGATTAATAACCAGGATCTACAAAGAGATCAAGAAACTCTACCACAACAAAACAAACAACCCACTTAAGAGATGGTCCAAGGAACTAAATAGACATTTTTCAAAAGTGGAAATCCAAATGGCCAACAGACACATGAAAAAATGTTCAAGATCACTATCCATCAGGGAAATGCAAATCAAAACCACAATGAGGTTTCACCTCACCCCGGTTAGAATGGCTTACATACAGAAATCAGCTAACAACAGATACTGGCGAGGATGTGGGGAAAAGTCACACTAATCCACTGTTGGTGGGTATGTAAATTGGTAAAGCCACTATGGAAGACAGTTTCCTCAGAAACCTGAATATAGCCCTAACACACGACCCACCCATTCCACTCCTTGGAATTTACCCAAAGGAAATTAAATCAGCAAATAAAGAGCTGTCTGCACCTCAATGTTTATTGCAGCTCAATTTACAATAGCTATGATATGGAATCAACCTGAATTCCCATCAACAGAAGACTGGATAAAAAAATTATGAGGGGACAGTGCCATGTCTCACTAAGTTAATCCTCCGCCTGCGGCACCAGATTCCCATAAGGGCACTGTGTTCTAGTCCCCGCTGCTCCTCTTCCAGTCCAGCTCTCTGCTGTGGCCCAGGAAGGCAGTGGAGGATGGCCCAAGTGCTTGCTCTGCAAACCCATGGAAGACCAGGAAGAAGCACCTGGCTCCTGTCTTTGGATCAGCGCAGCATCGGCCGTGGCAGCAATTTGGAGAGTACACCAATGGAAGGAAGACCTTTCTCTCTGCCTCTCTCTCTCACTGTCTATAACTACTTGTCAAATAAAAAAAGAAATTATGGGATAATGTACTCTATAGAATACTATACAGCAGTAAGAAAAAGAAAATTAAATCCAGTCATTTGCAGCAAAATGAAGGAATCTGGAAAACATCATGCTGAGTGAAATAAGCCAGTACGTAAGGGACAAATATCACGTGTTCTCCCTGATCTGTGACAACTAACTGAGCACCTAAAAAGAAACCTGTAGAAGTCAAACGGACACTATGAGAAACAATGATTTGAGCAGCCCTTGTCCTGACTGTCAAGGAACAGCTTACTATTTTATTTCTTTTAGCATATTCTTGTTCTACTTAATACCATTGGTTGAACTCTTTAATTAACACAAAATTATTGTTGGTGTTTAAATTTAACTGAAAATTGATCCTGTTAAAAATAAGAGTGGGAATAAGAGAGGGAGGAGATGTACAGTTCAGCACATGCTTACTCAAACTTACCCTTAACGGTAGATCTAGCAATGTGCCATGGGATTTCAAATCCCATTAAGTTGGCATGTACCAATGCCATCTTACTAGTCAAAGTGATCAGTTTAAGTTCATAATTGATCATAAAGATAGTAATAAATGTCAAAGGGATCACATAAACAAGACCAGTGTCTGGTAATAATAACTGATATAATTTTTTTTTTAGTTTTTATTTATTTGACAGATAGCAAGGTCTTCCTTCCATTTGTTCACCCCCCAAATGGCCACTACAGCTGGAGCTACACCAATCTGAAGCCAGGAGCCAGGTGCTTCCTCCTGGTCTCCCATGCCGGCGCAGGGGCCCAAGCACTTGGGCCATCATCCACTGCCTTCCTGGGCCACATCAGAGAGCTGGACTGGAAGAGGAGCAACTGGGACTAGAACCCAGTGCCCATATGGGATGCCAGTAAGGAGTAACCAAGTGAGCCATGGCACCGGCCCCACAGATAGAATTAAAAAGGAGAGAATGATCCAACATGGGAAGCGGGATACACAGCAGACTCATAGAATGGCAGATGTCCTAAACAGCACTCTGGCCTAAGAATCAGCCCTTAAGACATTCAGATCTGGTTAAAAAGCCCATGAGAGTTTCTCAGGCATGGAAAGCCAAGACACTGTGGCAAAAACAAACAAACAAACAAACAACGAAATGAAAGATCTCTGCAAGTGAGATCCCAGTGGAAAGAACAGGCCATCAAAGAAGGAGGTACATTTCTCTGAAGGGAGGAGAGAACTTCTACTTTGACTATGGCTTTGTCTAATAAGATTGGAGTTTGTGAACTCAAGAGGCTTCCATAGGCTTGGCAGCTCATGAGAAGAGCCTGGTTGATTACTGACGTCATAAATAAGAGTGTCAGTTATTAAATCAACAACGGGAGTCACTGTGTAATAACTCCACATGTAGGATCTCTGTCCTTAATGTGTTTTACTATGCAAATTAATGGTAAAAACTAGTATTCAAATAGTACTTTATACTTTGTGTCTGTGTGGGTGCAAACTGTTGAAATCTTTACTTGGCCAGTGCTGTGGCTCACTAGGCTAATCCTCTGCCTTGCGGCGCTGGCACACCAGGTTCTAGTCCCAGTCGGGGCGCCGGATTCTGTCCCGGTTGCCCCTCTTCCAGGCCAGCTTTCTGCTGTGGCCAGGGAGTGCAGTGGAGGATGGCCCAAGTACTTGGGCCCTGCACCCCATGGGAGACCAGGAGAAGCACCTGGCTCCTGCCATCGGATCAGCACGGTGCGCCGGTCGCAGTGTGCCGGCCGCAGCGGCCATTGGAGGGTGAACCAACGGCAAAGGAAGACCTTTCTCTCTGTCTCTCTCTCTCACTGTCCACTCTGCCTGGCAAAAAAATTTTAAAAAAATCTTTACTTAGTATATACTAAGTTGATCTTCTGTATATAAAGATAATTGAAAATGAATCTTAATGAAGAATGGGATGGTAGAGGGAATAGGAGATGGGATGGTTTGTGGGAGGGAGGGAGGTTATTGGGGGGAAAACCACTATAATCAAAAGTTGTACTTTTGAAATTTATATTTATTAAATAAAAGAAAAAAAAGATGAGCTCAGGGAGCCAACAAGAAGGGATGGACATGACAAGGGATTCCCTGAGCCCTTTCAGAAAGAAACTTTTCCTCTTTTGGCCTCAGAATGCAAGGGAAATGATGATGAGAGAAGTGCTACCTCTGTTCACATTCCTGGTCTGGTTCCACTCACTCTGTTAAATTGTACCCCCTGCTCATGATATGGCTACAGATTCATGCCTCCTCTTTTTCTCTATCTCTCCTTTAGCTGGGTCTTGACCTAACCCAAGTTTGTCTTGCTTGCTTGCACTCCTCTTCCCATGAAATACCAAGGTAAGTTCTGTTACTTCATTGGTTTATGTATTTCTATAATCTGTTCATCCTTTTCCTTCTAACTTTACATTTTCCAATCCATCCATCATGTTTCCTTTACCTTTTAAAAAATTTTACGTATTTTTTAGAGATTTATTTTATCTCTTTGAAAGAGTTACAGAGAGGTAGAGACAGAGAGAGAGATCTTCCATCTGCTGGTTCACTCCCCAGATGGCCGCAAAACCAGAGCTGTGCTGATCTATAGCCAGGAGCTTCCTCCGGTCTCCCATGTGGGTGCAGGGGCCCAAGGACTTGGGCCATTTTCTGCTGCTTTCCTAGGCCATAGCAGAGAGTTGGATCAGAAGAGGAGAAGCCAGAACTAGAACCAGTGCCCATATGGGATGCCGGTGCTTCAGGCCAGGGCTTTAACCCACTGTGCCATTACGCCGGCCCCACAATTTTACTTAATTTAATTTGAAAGGTAGAGGGAGAGACAGATCTTAGGTATGTTGGTTCACTCCCCAAATGGACAGGGCTGTGCCAGACTGAAGCCAGGAGCCTGAACTCCCTCCAGGTCTTCTACATGGATGGCAGGGGTCCAAGCACTTGGACCATCTTCCACTGCCTTCTCAAACACATTAGTATAGAGGTGGATTGGAAGTGAATCAGCCAGGATGCAAACCAGTGCTCATATGGGATACTGGCGTCAAAGGCAGTGGCTTCACTCACCGTACCATAATGCCAGCTCCACACTTCCATTCCCTTTTAAACTCCATTCAGAAGGCAATATTTCCCCATGTTTCTGAATCTATTATATTCTATAAAATTTAGAGCCCTGTTTGTGCTTACCTTGCTTCTTTCTCTTTTACTGTACCCTGTACTTGCCTGCAAGTCAATAATTTTCCCTGTAGCTTGTCTTTTAAAAAGGCAACTTTTAAACATACCCAACTTAACTTGTATTTCATGATTCCCCACCCCCATTTAGTCTCGATGCTTTTCTTCAATGATACCCAAGACTAGTACATTTAAGATGTGGGCAGTCCTATTTACAGTGATGTGATGCCAGGCATCTATTGGCATTTGCTCATGGGAACTTCATTAGTCTTTCCCTGGGCTTTCAATCACATAAAAGCAGACACCATTCCAAGAGCCATGAACCAGTTTCCAAGCACTCATCAGTGCTGCGACCTACCTGATCGCTCCGGGTTGGGTATAAATCCACCTTCAAGAATCTGAACATCACCACTGGCATAACTGAAGCCACTGTTGTTAAGAGAATAACAAGCCAGATGCACTTCTGGGTCAAGGAATGCCATACATTTCCTATTATTAGAGAGAAGTGTATACTGAGGTTATATATAGAACTGAATTATAAATTAGTAGTTTCTTTGTTTCTGTAATATCTTTTTGAGGGATGAGTTTTTGAACTACCAATGGAGGACAATTGAGTATACCCACCCCAAGTATATGGTATGCTCAAAGGTGATAAGAGAAGAAAAAAGTGCTAAGATAACTCTTAGAAACTGCTTGGCATGGCCAACCTGAGCCAAGCATTCTCTAATCCAGTTTCTGTCCAGCTTCACTCATGAAACACAATTCCCTCATCTCGTCTTATGACTTCTTGGCTATAAAGCAGCCATAATTTTTAAAAGGCACATTTACCTTCAGGGACCCTCGACTAGAAACCATCATGTCAAATTACACAATAAATGTCCTGGATGCAGGGAAAATCTCAAATAACGATCTTGTTGACTGACTATGCCAACTTTTTATGAAAGGTGAGCTTTATCTACTGCAGGGCCAAACTTAAATTCCAGGCAATGGTCCCAGAAAACCTGCCTCAAAGGGATTTTCTTTCTCTTTGATGTTAACTTGGTTATGAGGTACTCCAGATTCCAAGGAGAACAGAGAGGCATCACTGAATGGAACATCTCCCTTTGGAAGGTGGGGGGAGGGGGATGGGGTACTGCTGATGCGGCCATCCAACATAATAGGGCCACAGGACACTGAAACTCATTTCCAAGCCTGACACCCGCTTCCTTACTTTAAAGAAACATCAAAGTATGAGAGGTGGGAGTTTAAACAAGGCAATGAGGGTCGGTACAACAGACAGATACATTCCAGGGGAAGATGCCAACCCTACTTCTTTCACCAAAATGAATCTTTATCCTTGTTCATTCTCTAAGAATTTATCATGCTACTCCAAATTATCTAGGTCCCCTCTCTCAGTACTCAGTGTTAACACCATTCAAATGGGCCTTAAGTACAAGGGGTTGGCTGCTTATTGTTATGTCTACTTTTTCTGGCATTAGAGCACACAATCTGCCTACCAAAGAGCAGCAGATTCCAGTTGTCTTCGGCCATGGGCAGAAACAAATTTGACTTAAAAATTAAATGTCTCTTTGAGCTCCTTGAAACTCAGTGCCTCCAGGCATGGCTGGAAAAAACAAGCTTCACTTTAAAACCACACTCTTGCTTGCTGCTGGCTACTAAGGAAAATTTTTTTTTCTTAAACCCCAATGTTGTTCTAATTTTTGAAAAGTCTCATTGGAGCTTAGTAATTAATTCCTGGAAAAGCATGTGCTTAGATAAAGAGAGTGGTCCCTACATAAATTACTTTCTACAGTGGAGACACTCCACTCTCTTGGTACACATTAGAATGCTGTCTGAGGACAGGAAGTCTTGCAGTCAATGCAAGGAACTTTCTGATTTAACAATCAAAAAATTAAAAATAGTTTTCCTTTCTTAATCTTACTTATAACCAACATGTATCTACATCATTAGAATCCTTTGGTAAACAAAGTATTAACATTATCTATTAAATATGATAGCTACAATTTAAAGATTTCTGCATACATGTAGGAAAAGGCAAAGCTAAAGAACAATATTCTTTATGTATGGAAGAACAATATTCTTAAGTGTATGTGTGAAGTCAAATGGAATTATACTTTCGGGTGCCTTTTTATCAGTAGAATGTCTATCCTTAGCATTGGTCCTATTTTTTTCCTCCATGAATCAGTCTTCCAAGAATCATTTTTCTAGAGTGAATTACTCAACTGAGTATAGATGCAAAATTCAATTTTGTATGATTGAGCTCAAAAAGGTTGTCACCATACATCTCTTTTCTTGTTTGTGGAGATGAGCTCAAAAAATTGCTGTTACCAACTTATCTCACACACATTAGAGATTTCAAAATTTCTGGGAAAGTATAGTAATAGCCCTCTTGTGCAAAGCTTAGTAGCCTTGACTGGAAATCATTTTGAAATATAGAGTGCAATGGTAGTGTACTCTGCACACTGGCTAGATGTATACTCTTTGTAGAGTAATAGAATCTCAAAGTGAAAGGATTGTAGGGGGTTCAGTGCTACCCATATGATGTTCAAATTTCTCTGCAATGTCTCCAACCAATAATCAAGCCACATTTGCTTGAACAATAGTCACCATCATCAGTTAACATTTACAGAAAACATGCTATGTAGCATATACATTTTAATATTTTATGTGTAATATTTCATTTAACACTCATAAAATTTCTACAAAAATTGGAACTATTAATATCCTTAGTTCATAATTAAAGAGCCTGAGGCTTTGAAAAAAGAAGAAACATTCCCAGCATCACACTTTTAAGTTAGAGAGTCAGGGTTCAAGTGCAAGCTCCATAACTACAATTGCCTACCCTTTATGCCATTTACGAATTAATGTCCAGCAATTTTTAGAAGGCTTTAAATTATACATTATTTCTTCCTCATCTAAATGCAAATAAGTTCTACAGTATTGTACTTTGAGAAATTGGTGATAATATGGCATAAAAGGGAGCATCTTGTATTTATTTCTCTTCTATCACTTATGAAAATTTGACAGGATTTCTGATAGACCCAGTGTATTTGCAAGAAGTTAGTCTAATGCATCTAAACTATTGAGAACTTATAAGCTGCTATCATTAGTGATTCTTGTGCACTGGGTAGAGACAGCAGAAACTATTCCTTGGCTCCCCTTTCAAGTGTAGAAAACTTCAGATAGATCAATCAGTTCTTAGAAAAAAGATCATTGATCATCCACAGCCTCATCCAATACATATAAAAAGAAGTTAATTAGACAGCCCACTAGACCACAGGACTCACCAACAAAGGGAAACTGATTTGGGAAGACGCCAAACATGCCATTACTGTGTGTTGTAAACAAAATGCAGAAATAAGTGACAATGCTGCCCCAGATGAAGACATGATTAATGATAGTCCAGTAACTGGTATCCAAGGCCATCTGTAAATAAGAGAAAATGCAGAAACATCTGTAGGGATTTCAAGAACATCATTTGCCAAGTGATGTTTCCCCAGAATTGCTCTGTGACAGGAAGGTTGCACCTACCTAGCTAGCAAGCCAGTAACAAGCATCCTCACTTTCTGCATAAACACGGGGTTCTGATTTAACTGGATAGTCCTGATAGACAGTGTAAGAACCTATATATGCAAGCATTACATCTGCCAAGTTTGGGTTAGATGTTAAAAAAATGTTAAATTCCTTTTGTGCAAAAGAGAAAGCAAAATAGGTTATAATTTTAAAGTTACTTTCCAAATTGCTCCCAAAAGTTTTCTATTGGAAAAAATATTTTTATAGCATGACAACTGTGAATTTTATAATATATATATATACATGAATTTTCACGTCTGTTTTTACATATGCGTGTTATTCTTTACATCAATATTCTAATTCATTTTGATGATCCTATCTCTTAAATCGATCAAATAACAACAAAGTTCTTAATCTCTTTTTGTGTAAACATTAGAAACTGGAATTTGTAGTGGCCTTGGAGCATGTTCACAGACCCTTCTCCCTTCCAGTAACTTGTAGCAGCTCAGCTAAAAGAATAGTGGTCTGGTGTTAGACAGTCAAGGAAACCACTGGTAAATGTGAACCCTTGAGTTCTCCAGAGGGAAAAAAGTAGGTTCTAGTATTATTTGCCTCTCAGAGTCCGAAGTGGTCCAAATCTAGGAGAGTGCTTGTATTTCTAGTAGAGCCTGGGGCAAGATCACAAGTTTCTTTTCTGCCTAAGAAGGCCCTGCCTGAACAGTAAACAGATCCCTTTCAACATGTGGAGACACACTACCTCTTCCCACTTCTGATTTACTTTCGTTTTGTTTATTTATTTGAGAGATAGAGTTACAGACGGAGAGAGAGTGACAGAGAGAAAGGTCTTCTATACACTGGTTCACTCCCCAAATAGCTACAACGACAACTAGAGTTGGGCCGATCTGAAGCCAGGAGGTTCTTCTGGGTCTCCAACATGGATGCAAGGGCCCAAGCACTTGGACCATCTCCCACTGCTTTCCCAGGTACATTAGCAGGAAGTGGAGGATCAGAAGTGGAGCATCCAGGACATGAACCAGCACCCACATGGGATGCCGTTGGAGGCTTAATCTACTATGCCACAGCAGTGGCCCCTATTGTCCTTTTAAAAGGATGCTCACATCCTGGGATGTGAACTGAGAATAGAAAAGGACAAGCCCTTTCTGTTTTTAAGAGGTCATCTTTGTCTTGCCAAAGAGGTATTGGCTTTGTGGTTCATTTGGCTGCCCAGACATTAAACAAAAATCTACAGTTCGACCTTCCATCACTGTCAGCTCATTACCATCAAGAGACAATGATAGCCTGACCTGTTTGTGTAGGAGTAGGCAAATAACCCATTTAAAATAACTCAGCTAAAAATCAAGAACAGGTGACTTCTATTGAAGCAGAACTAATAGACGAGACAGACAAGTATTACAACCAAAAAAAAATGTAATAAGATCTCAAGGATATGCAATTAGATCACAGAAAAAAAAATCTGAAATAAAAACCACTATTTTTGGATTTTAAAATTTAATAGAGAAACCAAATAAGAATAGTCACTGATGAGAACTGAATTAATATCTGGAATAAACAAATGGAAATAGTATCTCACAACAGAGAACCAAAACTTGATGAAATGGAAACCATGTGCAAAAACACATGAAATATGGATGGCAAATCCATAGACATCAGATCTATGAGCACAATATACAATTAATGGTATTCTAGAAAGAGAAAAAAGAATAGGGAAGTAACAAAGAAATGACCCAAGAAAACTGCTCTGTGATAACAGCTACCATAGCTTTTCAGACTGAGAGTGCTTCCACACCCCAGGCAAGTTAAGGAAGGAAGACACACTTTGGTGACATTTGTGAAGTGCAAGGATAAAGAACTCACGCTTCTAAATAAAGGTATCAATGGAACATCCAACCTCCACAGTGAAACTTGGAGATATTGGAACAATGACGGAATTCCTGAAGAAAGAGGCTCCAACTCAAGAATCCTATACCCATCAGACACATTATTTAAATATAAAAACAGAAAGAAAGCTTTGAGCTCAAAAGTGTCACATCTAAATGCTCTTTCTGAACAAATTACTCAAGAATATTACTGCAAATAAAAATTATAACCAAGACTTCAAAAAAGCAAAACACAGAGCACAAAAATAGTGGTAAGCAGTGATTCTTGTAAATTTATACTTAGTTCTAAATGAGTAATAATGTGACTATGAGCTGCAGTATTAATTTAGAAAGAATTTTTGATCAGTGAAAACATATGTTGAAGGAGTATTTAATAACATCCTGTAACTAAAGTCTAAATTATTAGCACATAAGAGTTGAGAATGGGAACAGGGACATGGAAGGACAAGTAAAATAAAATATTTACAAAACTGTTTAATTGGAGGTACATGCAGAAGGAATTAGAACAGGATATTTGAATGAAATACATAATTATTATGGAATTTTAAGATAAAAATATAAACATAACAATTTAAAATACTATTATAATTGTGAGAAATTACTAGTAAAAATAGAAATACAATAAAGTAAATAAATCATTCATGAGAAATAGAATATTTTTAAATGACAATTAATGCATCTAAGTATAAAAATGAAAAAACACAAAAATATAACCAAATGCAATCAAAGTAATTTTAAACATATCAGGCAGTTGGCATAGCTTTATGATGCCACTTGGGATGCTCACAACTGATTTCGGAGTGCCTGGGTTCAAGTCCCTGCTATACTCCTAATTTCTACTAATGCGTACCCTAGGAGGCAACAGATGATGACTTTTGTTGGGTCCCGGCCATTCACATGGAAGACTCAAATTGAGTTCCTGGCTCCTGGCTTCAGTCTGACCTAGCCCTCAACGTCATGGGCATCTGGGGAGTGAACCAGTGGATAAGCAATCGATTGTGTGTGTGTGTGTGTGTGTCCACTAAAAATTTAAAATAAAAATTACTGAAAAAAAGATTAAGTATATATTATTACCAAAAAATGAGTAGCTTCAATTCCCTTATCAAAGGAACAAAACTAGTAGAATGAAATAAGAAATAAATGGGCATGAAGGGATTGGCTCAGACTGCATATTAGGGAAAGACAAATAGAGAAACAAGAGAAACAAAAGTAACATTAAAAAATGAAGCTTAAATTAATATTTTTTAATCATGAAAAAGCTACAAAGAAAAACTAAGTCAGGAACTTGTATGTAGCAAATAATATTGCCTTGATTTACGTAAGCTAAAATCTCCTTGAAATACAGGAACTTGATAAGAATCATAATCACTATGGCTAACTTTAGGACACCTCTCTCAGTGTTTGGCACCCAGTCCCTACTGTGACCAAAACCAAGCCGTAAGAGATGGTAACAGCAGTGTTTCCACTACAGCTACGCAGACATGTGGTTCGGGTTGCTCCCCTTGGCATTGTATCTAGCTGAGGTTCTCCCCAGTACACTTGACCTCTGGAAAACTCTGGAGCTACACAGCAGCTTCTAATAAAACTTTTTGCTTAAAAAAAAAAAACAAACCTGCTATTTGTAACTATAATCATTTTTTGGGAAGTATTAGAGCAATATTTATGAAAATTTAAAATGTGCCTATTCTCTGATCTAGCAATGAAAACAGTAAAATATCTTCACCCAGCAGATGGGTAAAAAAGTAGGAGTTTTAGGGCCAGCATTGTTGGCATAGTGGGTTAAGCTGCCACCTGCGACACTGCTATCCCACATGGATGCCGGTTCATGTCCCAGTTGCTCCACTTCCAGTCCAGCTCCCTGCTGGGAAAGAGGCACAAGGTGGTCCAGATGTTTGGGCCCCTGCACCCATGTAGGAGACCTAGAAGAAACTCCTGGCTACTAGCTCTGGCTCAGTCCAGCCCCAGGCCCTGTGGACATTTGAGGAGTGACCCAGCAGATGGAAGATCTCTTTCTCTCTCTGTTCTCCCTCTCTTTCTCGAACTCTTTCAAATAAGTCTCTAAAAAAATTACAAGTTCTGAACCTATAAATCTCATTTCTAGGGATTTATCTGACTTTGCACATAAAATATACATAATGTATGCATTGTAATATTGCATCAATAAAAAATATCTTAAGAGGATTGATAAATTATTGAATATTCATATTATAAAATTCTGTGTAGCTATTAAAAAATTGATAGATGTGAAGGTGTTAATTTGGAAAGCTTCTAGAATATCTAGTTAAGTGAGAATATCATATTATAGAATAATATGCACAATTATGACACCTTTTGCTGAATTGTGTGTGTTCAAGCAAAGAAAAAAATATGGAAGGATTTAAGCTATCAAATCATAATAGTAAAGAAAGGGAGGAAAGGAAGATGATATATTTCATTTTAAATACTTTGTTGTTTGAAATGTTAAAAGGAACATTTTATAATTCAAATGACTGTAAGAACTGATACTTAAAGGAAGTAGAACTACCCAAGTATGGCCTGCAGCATCAGCAGGACCGAGGATTTATAACTGTAACACTAGACCATGGATTTCAAGGCTGTTGTTGCCACAATGTAGAATCAAGGTTGAACAGTGAGGAAGGGATATTAATGCTGTTGTCAATATGAGTTTATTCACAAAATTCCTGAATCTTATTCCATATTTTAAAGACAGCAATTTTTGTTCAAAGCCAAAATCGCTGAGCTTCAGTGACTACGATCATTTGCATACTGAGGTCCAAGAATTCTATGGTAAAAGAAACATTCTCAGGGCTTCCTAGAGATAAGAAGTCATAACCTTCCTCAAAGAGTTGGACTAAAATGACCTTTGGGACTGGGAATCTGTATATTCCTCAAGATGAAATCTTAACAAGGAAGCAAAGACCTGTGAGTTTGTCATCTCTTACAGAGTCCCTCCCGTGTACCTTCAGGCTGACGTGCTGTGCTAGGTAGCTCCTCACTGAAGAGAGAGGGGGTGAG